GCGAAGATCCCACAAACGACCTTGACATCAAATATAAATGGCTTTGCCTTCTCCCTGCCTTGGCTTGGAGTGGGATCTCATTTTCTTCTTCTTGAACTCCCAGCCCCAATTCCCCCTCCATAGCAGTGATTTCTGCAGTTGTGTGGAAGGAATGGGAAAGGACTGGTGGTGGGCTGTCTGCTTCGGGGGAGTTAGCACTGTGGTGTCTCCTCCCAGCTCCACCATTATTAAGCAAATCTCTGCTCTCTGGGTTCCCATTTCTGGGTCAATAAATGAGAAAGTTCAGAGGATAAGCCATTTTAGAAAAGGGAAACTTTTTACAGAAGTATATCTACACATTTAGGTATACAGCTGAAGGTTCTTAAACTAACCACACCTCTGTAATCCACACCCAGATCAAGAAGCAACATCTCCAGCCCCCGAAAGCCCTTCCCAGGAACCAACATCCCATCCAAGAGAAACCACTCTCTTGACTTTTACTAGCATAGGAGCATTTTTTAAAGTGAAATTCTATAACGTAAAATTTACTGTTTTAAAGGGAACAATTCAGTGGCATTTAGTACATTCACGATGTACAACCACCATCTCTATCTAGCCCCAGGATACTTTTATTCCCTAGAAAGAAAACCTCATACCCTTTAAACCTTTGTTCCCTATTCTCGCCTCCCCCCAGCCCTGGGAAACACCAATCTGATGATCTCTGTCTCTATAGATTTGCCTATTTTGGACACTTCATATCAATGGAATCATACACTATGTGACTTTTCTATCTGGCTTCCTTCACTCAGCATCATGTTTTTGAAGCTCATCCATACTGTAGTATGGTCAGTATTTCATTCTTTTTAATGGCTGAATAATATTCCACTGGCGGGATAGACCACATTTTATTTATCTGTTCATCCATTGATGGACGTTTGGGTTGTTTCCCCCTTTCAAACATTGTGAATAGTGCTGATATTTTTTCCTGTCTTCATATTTTACGTAAATGGAGTCATACAGTATGTGCTCTTCTGGGTTTGGTTTTTGCTGAACATCAAGGTTTTTTAGGTTGGCTGTGCCATGTTGGGAGAAACATTTTTGGCCTTTCCTCCAGCGCCCTCTGCTGGCAGAGAGCACTGGCTGCCTTCTGCCCTTTGTGGAACTGGAATGGGGGTTCTGGAGGGCAAGACTCTTGGCTCCCAAGAAGGTCCAGGTGGAAGATCTCACTAGGAGCCCCCCAAAACTCCACAGCTGATGTTGGAAGGCAGTGGGGTAAGATGGGGGAGTCGTGTGGGGACACATCACAAGAGAGTGGGTATAGACCCCCTCAGTTCCCAAAACTCCCACCATGGAGGGCCTGGCCTCGCCTAGGAGTCTCAGCCTGTTCCCAGATCCCACCATCAGAAGACCCCTGTGTAATGGTCCTAACAGCAGTTTCTTTTCATTAATCATTCAATTAAGAAGCCCAAGAGTTTCTTACCTGGTGCTTCAATTAATTGCTTGTAAACACTCAGGAAAGCAGCTTCAGCCTCCTGACTTCTCTTACTAAGAGCCACCACCTTTGGAAATAAGAGAAAGAATTATGTGTGACCACGGCATCTGAGTCTACAAGCAAATCTGATCATTTTCTACATGTGTAAACTGGGGAATGGGGTGGGGGATAGGGGTGGAGGAGAAAGTAAATGAAGGTTAAAAGTATGGAATTAGAAATCTCAGTTCAAGTCCCAGCTCCACTGCATCTGGCTGTGTGACCTTGGGCAAGTCACTACCCCTCTCTGATTCTCAGTTTCCTCATCTATAAAATGGAGATAAATAATAGAACCTCCTAAGTGTGTTGTGGGGATTAAATGAAGCTGTATATAAATGCTTAGCACAAGGTCTGACACACATTAGGTTAGTAACAGCAATTATTATTATTCTTGTTACTAAAGGTCAGTGTTGGTGGTTCAAATATGATACGTTTTGTGGGAAAGTGGGACACATAATTTTCTTGCCACTGAAAATTAGAAATTGTTGAATCTTTAGTAAGATATCAGTTTCAACAAATGTCAAGAATGACAAAGTTAGGTGAAACTGTTCCAGCATACCAAAGGTGCTCAATGAATGCTCCTCGACTGATGAATATATGAATGACTGGATAACTCAGTTGGTGAGGGGCTACATTTGCACACTCATTCTCTTACTTGTGGACTTTTTTGTTCTGCCAGTGAGACTCTGTAAGATGCATTTCTGGGGCTCAGCCCCATCTCATCCCTCTGCTCCTGGCTACGCATTCCGAGCTCTGGCCTCACAAGCTATCTTGATGCTGGCTCTTGGTGGCCCAGTCCCCTTGGCACAGTCCTGGGCCTTCCTGGCACGTGGCTGGAGCGAGCTCCTGGCACCCACAGGTCACCATCCCCACCTCCTCGAGGACACCCTGAGCTGGGCAGCCCCCTTTGGGCTGGAATGAGCTGTATTCTCCCTGGCACAGACTGGTGCCAACCTCCTAAATGATGAACCTGTCAGAGCCACCTACTTATCAACTGTCCTCTTTCAGAGCTAGGCTTTTCTTACGAATCCCAATGATGCCAATTAGGGGGGTGACTGTTATTGAATTCCTCCCTTCGAAGTAAGCTCTGTATGTTATTTGGTTCACAGAAGGGCATCAATGTAATTTGCTGAATGAACAAATCCAAGTGGGTTGCACCAACTATAGGTCCTGTCTGTGACATCACTGCAGAGAAATGGCAGAGGCCAGTTCTGAGACAGTCTGCTCAGAGGCAGCCAACCAAGGCACAGGTCCTGGAGCCAGGCTGCCTGGGTTCAAATCCCCACTCCACCATTTATCACCTGTGTGTCCTTGAACAGGTAGGTCACTTCAATTCCTCTATGCCCCATCTGTAAAATGGGGATAATAACATGACAGCCTCCTTCAAAGGGCTGCTTGAGGATCAAATGATTTAAACAATGGAAAGCCCTTTGCAAAACTCCACGCATGAAGCCCCATAGGTATGTCACCTCTTGGTATGATCAACCCCTTCTTTCTTGCCTGTTATGGGGACAGGTTCTGCCCAGTGCTGGGTGACAAACACCAGCTCTGCTCATCTCTGGTGTCTGACGAAGGCCACCTGAGGAAGGCCCCACCTCCATACACAGCAGTGCACTCTGGGAAGAATAATTTGAAAACCATAGCAGTTCCTCTCCAGTTTCCAATATGGCAGCCGCAAGCCTCGTGTGGCTTTTGAGCACATGAAACATGGTGAGTCCAAATCCAGATGTGCTATGAGTGCAAAATATGCACCCGGATTTCAAAGACTTAGTATGAAAAAAAGAGTGTACAATAGCTCATCAGCATTTTTTATGTTGATTACATGTTGAAGTGATAACACTTTGGATATGATGGGTTAAATAAAATCTATTATTATAATTCATTTCATCTGTTTCCTTTTACTTTTTTTAATGTAGGTACTACAAAATATAAAAGTCCATCTGTGGATCACATTATATTTCTATTGGACAGCTCGGCTTGAAGGCTTTACAAGGTCCACAGAGGATTCGTTATTTAAGAGAGGTGGAGAGAAATGTACGGTGGATGTTGAGCAAGTGATTTTAAAAAGGTCAGTTCCAAAAGCCCCTTAAGCTCTCTCCTTGTTTATTCTGAGAGCAGTCTCTGGTTTCTTGCCTTCCAAGTGAATGACAGTCTTTCATTCATTCAACAAACATTTCCTGAGTACCTGCTAGGTGCCTTGCACTGTGGCTGAGAACTCAGCAATGAATGGTGCAGCCTCAAGCCCCACCCTTATAGGACTCACAGTCCAGTGGAGAGACCGACATTAAAGCAGATTCCCCAGATAATTCATTAATTACACATGCTAAAGACTTCAAAGGAAAAGTACAGGGGGCTGGAGAGTGTAAGTAAGGGGAGGCTGACCCAGTTTGGCGGGTGGAAGGAACATCGGGAGTTATCTCCCCAGAAGGGGAAGATGGTGACGGACAGAAACGATGTTCTAGAATCTGGGCAAATGGAGACTTTTATTCTTGCTAACATGCATGAGACACAGTTCCTGCTCTGAGGACTCCCAGCTGAGTGGGAGACACTGCTGTGCCAAAGAGGAACCATAACACAGGAGGAGGTGATGCAAACACTGGCATCTCCAGAGCAATGTGAGGAGGGGCAATTAATTCAGAGTTGGGGGGGCATCCTTGATGTGATAATAATAATAATAAATATATTCAAGTGTAATATTCAAAGTTTACCACGTACCAGATGCTCTTATTATTCATAATCATGTCTCCACGGACACATCAATCACTGAATATAGCTGCTGTCATTATCCCCACTGTATAGGTGAGGGAACCAAGGCTCAGTGATGTTAAGTAACTTGCCCAAGGTCACCCAGTAAGTAAATGGACAAGCGAGGTTCACACCAGGTCTGGGAGTTCAAATTACTGTTCTGAATCCAGATGTGGGACCCTGTCTCCTGGAAAGAACAACCATCCCAGCCAGTGGGAACAGTCACTCGTATGCCATGTGGAAGCTGCTGCCTTGAGATGCCACCTATGGCTGTACCAGGCCAGGGGCTGCTGCGCTGCTGACCTGGAGCCCACGAAAGGCCACGAGAAACAAAAGGAACTCATCTCCCAATCCCTAGACGGAGAATTATCAAAGATCAGCCGGCAGGAAGTCTGAATGCTTCATTTTACAGCTGTCCATGCTGAGCACGTGTGGTGGCTGGGGTCTGGGGAAAGGCCTGAGAATGTTCCACTGATTTCTAAAAAGGAATTCAGGGCAGAGGTGGGGTCAAGTGCTGGAAGATGCCTTTAATGCTTCCCTGTCTCTGCCCATAGCGCCCTCTACTGTCCATTCACGGTGCTCATGACTTGCGTATTGATTATCTGTGTGACTGTCTCCTTACAACGTGAGACTGGAATGGCACTCAGTTTGAATTGGTTCAAATTTAGGGCTTCCCATGGTGAATGTGACTCTTAGAGGCAGTTGCCATTTGGATGCCCTGCCTCGTTCAGTCTTGTCTTAGAGCAATCACTCTGTTTCTAGAAAGCCAAGTATCATAGCCTGATCCAGTGCTGGGCTTAATGTCACGAAGCATCTCTCAGCCTCAGTCTGTTCATCCATAAAGTGGGAAGAATACTTTCCATCTGTCGAAGAGGAACGAGCTAACATGTGGCAAAGAGTCCCATGGAATCTGGCAAAAAGCTTTCTAATAAAGCAGATAATTCTTCTTCCAACTATAAGGGATGTCTTTTCCAAGAGCTGCAACTCTGATGCATTTCACCCATGTGCCCAGAGCAGGTGACCTCAGCATAAATAAAAGGCCATGTGTTTCTGCCTCATGACTGGGCCCCATCACGCAGAAGGGCAGGAGAAAAGGGTCCAGAATGACAGATTTGGCTTGTGACAGGCAGATCTTTGAAGGCCATCTGGGGGAGGAGGAGGCGGTGGCGGCCAGCTACAGACACCAAGAAGGTCATATCAGAAACAGCTCAGCGTGTGACGGAGCAGGCGGCGTTCACACTACCGGCTGTAACATAGGGGGTGAAAATGTGTTTGGTCCCCGGAGTATGAAAGTAACAGGTGTAGAACTGGTTAAGCCAGAGGAGAGGCAAAAGCCTGTTCTAGCCGCCTAGCATTTGTCTGTCAGGTGGTTAAAAATGGCACGTTTAGGGCCCCCCCGGGGCTGAGCTTCCGCGAGCTGTCTGAGAGAGCGGTGCCTGGCTATTGAGAACAGCTCTGTGCCAAGCTCTTCACGATGAATGGTAAGAGTTTCTGGAAACCAACCCTTTATTCTGTTCTCAGTGCCTTACCTTTGGAATCTCCAAAAACAACTCTCAGACATGAGCACTGTCTCCCATTCTACAGAGGAAGAAACTGAGGCTCATGGAAGCCAAGCCACCTGGCCAAGATGAGAGTACTAGTTATTGATGGAGGTGGTATCCACACCCGGCATCCTCTCATTCCGGGGTCCAGACTTGCAACTAGAACCCAGTGCTCCTCAAAGTGTGTTGCACAGTACCCCAGGCGTGAGGAGAGGGACCTGTGATCAAGGCTGTGCCCATCTGCCTTCTCTGTGGATTGTACAAAATCTCTTAGCGCACTGGACGCTCTTCTGCTCAGCTTAGCCCAAATGCATTTGGCCACAGAACTTTTTCTTCACAGAATAAACCTGGAAACTCGGGTTCCATGGAACACGTTTCGAAAACAGCTTCCCTCTACCACTGGGTCCTGGGCTTTGGGAAGGGTGGGGCACGGCGGTTCTGGGAGATGGGGTGGGGGGATCTGCTGCGGCAGGGATTCTGGATGAAACTGAAGAGTGATGGGCTGTAGAGCGGTGGGTGTTCAGAGGTCCCAGAATCAGCACGTCTGAGGAGGAGGCAGAGGAATGAGACCTGGGGAGAAAAGGAATCAGCCCAGGATGGCCCCGGGGGCCAGGAGGGTGCCCTTTAACACCCTCTGAAGCCTGGTTCTCCCTCTGGGGGTTGCAGATCTGGAGGGTCGATGGGGAGCAAAGAGAAGCAAGAAGAATGAGGGGAGACGGAGAGGAAGGAGGCAAAGAAGAGGGAG